GTGTACAACAGCGCCTGGGCACAGGAAAGGTTCAGTGCTCTCAGGTAGGCTCGAGACGCACACACAATCGCATCAGTTCCCATAAACTGTGTAATTTTCAGCAGCTTATAATAATCGCAAAGCACCTAAAAAACATATATTCACTTATTTATACCTGTGAAAGCAACAACTCTCATGCCTGGTAAAGGTTATTATGACAAATAGAAGGACAGGGGACTGAAACAGTACCTAACCCGAGGACAGTGTCATTCTCACTTGCAATAAGTTGCATTTGGCTTCATCTGGAAAGTTCACATCTATCTCCTTTGTTTCCATCAGGCTCATGTGTGGTCTCATAGAGCGCGTATCATCCAGTGTCAGCTGGTCGAATCCCTCTAGTGCTCAGTTTTATGAACTGCGCTTCATGTTCCTCATGACTGCACTCCGGCCAGAGCTCAGCACCCAGCTTAAACAGGTCGCACGATGTCATATAGTCCAAAGTTATTCCTGTTTTACTCCTCGTTACTGCCCTCACACTGATTATTCTCTTCCAGGAGGGAGGGGTTTCCATCCTCACAGCAGCCTTGGAGAGCTGCCTGGAGGTGCAGTGGAAGGACCAGTATGAGTGCGTCTTGGTCCCACAGGCACAGCCCATCTCTCTGGAAACCTCTCAGCGCGTCACAGAGATCCTCAAAATTCTCTTCAATATCACGCACAGCACCCACAAGCAGGACCCAAGTGAGGTGTGTGTAACGGCCCTCGCATTTTTCAGAAGCTTTGCTTTCATGTTCACTTTTTACAGGAGTTTTAATACAACATATATGTTATCAGTCAAATATGCAATCATATAAAAGCTAAATGTGCGAAAGAACAGGACAGTTGAAGAGGCATTAGCTGCGTCTGTGCATTTAATCAGGATGATGCGGCTCTGTACCGACACCTGGTGGCGATCCTGCGCCTCTGTCTGATGAGGAAGTGTCTCCTGTCAGAAGACACAGATGAACTGCAGGGGTGAGCACAACGTGACAAAACCCAAGCTGTGAAAATATTCAGGCTTGATAATCTCATAATTTACTATCGTGCAATTATAACACATACTGTGCAGCTATAATTGATTTAAATGATGGACTATAAAATGACATATAAAGCTTCAGAAATTCTTTAGGGGTTGCAAAATCACTTTCATGCAGAAGCACTATTTTTAATAACATTTGAAGCAACAAGGATGCGTTTATAATTATGAGTTTAATAACATCCTCTTGCTTGCTTATTTGAGACTTCCAGATAGATTGAATGTTCAGCTGCAGGTCTGATTAAAATCCCAAGTATATATAGAAATCGATGCCTTTTTATTAGGTCTCGATGTTCTTATAAAAAGAAAATTTTGAGATATAATACACCAATAATAGTGTATTTTGAGTAGCATTTGTTCTCATTTTGGATGAAACAGTGTATAATCCATCCAGCCAAACAACACCAAATGTTTAAAGGGGGATCTGCTCTGATCATTTTCAGCTCCTTTTTATTTTCAGGCTCTATTGGAGTAGCTTTGCATGGTTCACTGTTCAAAATAACCCTTATTTATCACAGGGAATACTTGCACATACACTGACCTCCAGTCTAACAGTATATGTCTAAAAAAAAACAAGGAAAAGCAGAGCAGGGAATAGGTTTTCCCCGCTCTCTTCTATCAACACTCACTCCTTTGCCGTGACCTTCTCTCACTCCCGCAGTCACACAGTGAACCTGTTGTCAGCGCTTCCTCTGCAGTGTCTCGATGTGTTGCTGACGGTGCCTCTGGAGCCAGATTCAGAGAAGTGCGAGGGGGTCAACATGGACTGCGTCCACACCCTGCTGATGTTCATGGAGAGACGCCTGGAGGCGGTGAGGGAGTAGAAAAGAGTTCTGTTTGTAGAGTCTTTTCTGATCCATTTGTGTGTTTGTGAGGGGGGGGTCTCAGTGATTTGTTCTTAAAGTTTATATTTTGCAGCGTGAAAAAGGGAGCAGCTGGTATTACGGAAATAACGGAGAGGATTTGTTTTATGTGCTTTTCAGGGAGATAAGATCAAAGAGAAGCTGACACCAATCCTCAATCTGCTGACGGAGAGCTGCAGGGCTCACAGAGAAACACGGCACTACATCAGAAAATATGTAATATACGACACCTCAGAGATAGCTCCTGTGTTTAGCTTTTTGATGTTTTGATGCCAAAATATTTGAAGCACGTTTAATGTCCAGTATGCTTTTGATCATTTGCATGTAACCAACCAACACCTGACCTGTGCAGGCCTGGACTCTATAAGACTGAAGACTATAAGACTACTCACTTGTAGTATTCATAGTACTGTGCAAAGGTCTTGAGACACCCCTCACTTCTATATATATTGCTGGAAAAAAATGCAAATACAGTATAAACAGAGTTAGTACAATTCTATGACCACTTTTATCCTTCAACACAGCCTGAACTCTCTTAGGTAGCTTTCTTGTAATTTCTTACAGTAGTATTCAGGGTTAGTTCTCTAAAAAAAAGTTCTTCTTTGGATGTTGGCTGTCTTTTGTTTTGTTCTCTGTAAAGATGATACGACATTGCCTCAGTAACATTGAGGTCCGGGCTCTGGGGAGGCCAATCCATGCACTGCCAGTGTGTTTGGGATTGTTGTCATGCTGAAAAATGAAGCTATTGCCAATCAGATGTTTTCCAGATTGCATTGTATGGTGAATGAAAATCTGATGGCACTTGCCTGATTTATAATTTCATCACTTTTGATAGGATCCCCCAACACCACTGACTGAAAAGCAAACCAAAACCATGAACTGGCCCCCCAGTTTTGAAGATGCATGTTAACACTTACTGTTGTACATCTCTCCTGACCTCCTCGTACATACTGAGGACAATTTGAAGCAGACAAGTTTACAACTTCCTCTTCTGTTCTCCATTTGTCCAGTTTCCTTGAATGCACACCATGCTGAGATGTGCCACGTTTTTGGATAATAGTCTTTGAGAATCACCATGTTGGTGCAAAATACTATTTTATGCCTGTCCAGCTGTGTTACCTTTGGGATTTTTATAGATACAAAGGAAAGTAGCACAAATTGTATGTTTTGGTGACAGGTTGCTAAAGATCCAGTTTAAACTGGTTCATCCTATGAGTTAGATCCCTTTTTTATGCTTCAGTATTTCATTGTTCAGTGTTAAGTGGCTTAATGAACACAATACATGTTTCTCTGTAATGGACAGGTACAAGGACTGAGCTAAAAGTGAGTGAAAAAGCAGCCAATGTTTAAAGAAAAACTAAAAAGACATTTTAAAAAAAATAAGCGGTTGCTGAAGACTTTAGCAGACAAAGACAGCAGATCCTTTAATTCCGGGAAGATGTGAGTTGGCAGACTTGTTCCAGCTCATCCCTAAACACCCTTCTCCTCCCTCCAACACACTGACTATGAGAAAGGATTTTTCATTATATATTTGATTTGTCTCAGACTTTGAAAACCATCGTTGTTTTGAGGTTAACGGCACATTTTGCTTCATTTGCAAGCGTCAAAATGGTCTCGCTCATATTTATGTAAAAAAGAAGAAGAAGCAAAACACATTAAAGAAAATTAAAGCTATAATGTGTCGCCATCATTAGATCCTGCCTCCTCTGAGAGACGTATCACAGAGGCCAGAGGAAGGCACCACAGTGAAGAGCCGTCTGATTCGTCTTATGACTCATCTGGACACAGACCTCAAACACTGTGCCGCTGACCTCATCTTTGTCCTCTGCAAGGAAAATGGTAAGAAGAAGCAATATGTGGATTAATAAAAATAGGGTGAAGTTACAGTCTGGTTATAAAAATAGAAAAATGCATATTGAAATGATCAGATGGTATTTAAACAACGGGCGTCATTCGTTTTTATTGTGCTTTAAAAAAACTCTTATTACCTTTTAAATATTTGTGTTTATATCTTTATTATTATTTTATGTAGTCTTGATAGTCATGTTTTTTTTATTATATACATTATTTTAAATTTAATCTGTGAATGCAGTGGTGTTGAAATGTTTTTGTAGCTCTTTTTGTATTTTTTTCTTTCGTGCCTTATTGAGAACACCAACGCTTCTTTTCCTAGTGAGCCGTTTTGTGAAGTATACGGGTTACGGTAACGCAGCAGGTCTGCTGGCCACCAGGGGGCTCCTGGGAGGCCAGGGGCCCAGGACCTCTGATACCCAGTACTCCAGCGACTCTGATTCAGACACCGAGGAGTACCGGCAGGTCAAAGACCGCGTCAACCCGGTGACGGGGCGGGTGGAGGCAGAGCAGCCAGACCCTATGGAGGGCATGACAGAGGAGGAGAAGGAGGAGGAGGCCAAGAGGCTGATCATGCTCTTCAACAAGCTGTCCAGGTAAGCAAAACGTCAAAAAGCTACAAACATGAGAGATACACACAAGTCTCAGATGCTTCTAATGAATACAGTAAACGTCAACTGATTCCCACCACACCACAGCAAAAGTTTACAGAATTTAATTTATTAAGGTACAAATACAGAGTTGCAATAAAAGTGTCGAGCAGACTGTACATGTGTATATAACCAAAAGCTAATTCCAGCGCATAATCTGCAGCGTCTCAATGTGTTGCTGCAGAGGAAGTTCTTTGATGAGCATTAATGGGTCAAGTAGTCATTAAAATTGTATACTGGTAAGAAACAGTAAGGTCTGTAAAACTCAAGTGTTCCTCTTGTTCTTGCATAATACAGCAGATTGATGGTGAATTAAACAGGCTGTTAAAGCTCACATAGGTACTCTAAACTTAAAAGACCACCAGACTTCAGTGCATATGTACTGGGATGAGAACCAAGTTACTGCTGGTGATCAAATCGCCTGCATCTCGTGTATTTTACAGAGACAACATCATCCAGCCGATGGGAGTGGATGAAGAGGGGAAGCTCGTCCCAATGTCAGGACTGAAGGAAAATCCTCTCTCTGAGGAGGCGAGGTCTGAGTCAGAGAATGACGGAGAAACAGAGGAAGGAGACAAGGACTGATTTCTGTTCATCAGTTTGTTCAGTTTATCGATATTACTTTGTAAACATTTCACTTGTACAGATCATCAGTGGAAAAGATGTGTTGTGTCTGTATGGGTGGTGTAAAAAGACAGAGCGATGTAGTTCTCGACCAAACAGAGTCATGCTGAGAGAGAATAAATTCAAAAAAGGATATTTTAAAAAAGAAAAACCTAGACAAAAAAAACAAAGGTAATTTCACACTTCTTCTTCTTTTGACTCAGACTGGCAGCGTAGAGCAGCAATACAGTTACGTGTGACATCGCAATGGTGAAAAGGCCATTTTGATCATGTAGTAGATTCAGCAGAGGAATGCTACCCATTAATGTTTCAATAAAGTTTTCAAAACAAATAATCTCCAGTATCGATCAGTGTGGTTATCTGCACAGCACGCTGATGTGTCGTAGCACATGACATCTGCTGAGGTGTATGTTCCTCATATTAAGCTAAAAATGTCAAAAAAGCTCCAGATGCTCTGGCCACATCTGCACTGCTAAAATCAGCTTGTATATTTATTTTTATCTGTGGCTCTGTTGTATTCAAGGCACTAATGCCATTTTCACTTTGTTGTATTACACTTTAGCAGGGGGTTTGTTACCAGCTTGCACTTGTTCACCCCTTAACACATTAATTTCACGGCATTAGGCCGATTATTATAACAAATAAGTTCATGAGCAGGAAGACTTGCAGCTTATGGGTGGTGTTTCACTTTGGCTGCCATTAAGACTCAGTTTAGAAGAGGAAAAGTGAAGATTAAAAAGAGGAGGAGTGCACAAAATGTTAAATGAGTGAAAGTCATGTCTCTTTACCTGAGTGACATCAGCTCATTACTGTAAAAATGTGATCTTGATTTTCAGTAACAACCCTGATCATGTCCCTGTGACTTGTTTTAAAATCCTAAGATAGAAATCAGGGCACACTTATTCTCCATACAGTATAAGTCAGACCGTTTGATCCCGGGTGAAGTACAAACCAACACAGCACCAGTGTCATTATTAAACATTATTCACAAACATAACTGAGATGATTAAAAATCTCAAAATAGCAAAACAGCCACTGCTTCCAAATGTTCAGTACTCCATCATCTCCCCCAGGGACACCTGCAGCTCCACAGACTTCAGGGAGGAGGCGCCATTTTCAACAGCTATGTTCTTGAGTAACTCCATCGAAGTCAGGCACACCTGAGCGGAGAAAATAAATAAGGAGCGGGAGTCAGGCGCGAGTGCAAAGGCGAGACGCGTTTGAGCTCGACGGCAGCCGTGAAATCAGAGAAAGGTCGAGCAATGAGACGCGTCAAGCTGGTTTCTTTGAGAAACTTTTTGTATAAAGCTTTTGATTTCTCAGTGTGCCGTCCTGTGTGGAGGCTGAGGAGAAGGACGAAAAGAAAAAAAAACCTTTTACACCTGAAGGATCAGCTGTCAGCGCCGGTATTCAGGCTTTGTTCCCTTTGTGCTGTTAATCAATACTGAGGCAAAATTGCCTCTTCAAAAGTGCTGCTGAGTACGGCTCCCTCCTCATGAGAGGGCAATTTTAGAGGTTGATCACTCATGAAATTTAATACAAGTTTGTGCAGCAGAAAGGGGGAAAAAATCTCTGCCTATTTGAAATACTGCTTAGAGGTCTGTGAGAGCACAGCACTGTATGCATGTTTTAAACATTTTCAGAAAGTTTCCTCACCTCCACTATGATGAGTTTTTTCTCCCAAGGCCTGCATTGTGGGTCAGGCCACTTTTCCCCAATACAGAAGAACAGGGAGCAGGGAGCGCACTCTTTAGCATTCCCCTCAATGAAGTCCTTTATTCCTAAGCAGACAGGAGACAATACATAAAAAAAAACTGTACCCAAAGCCACTAAATTCACAAAAGCTCCAAAATAATTCCTCTTACCTACCTCGCACAAAGTCCGTGAACTTGTAAAGAGCTTGAGGACACAGTTTAGAAATCTCTTGGGGCTGTCTGCTCTGGTCAAATTTGCAGAAGCTCCAGAAAGCTTTGCTTTCCCCCCGTCGCTGGCTGTAGACCACTTGGCCCGACACGCCAACTTCCAAGCCATCACCCAGCATGTCCAGAATCCGCTGGGTGAGGCTGGCTTGGTTTTGATCCACCATGGCTCCGGGACTTGGCAGGGAGACTATAGTGAGGCCTGACTCACGATCCAAAACTGTCCCATTGAGATCAGTCCTGATGTGAATACAAGCATTTTTATATTTCAGTTATCGGAGAAAATCGCTGAGTTTAAAACAGTCGCATTTGCTAGAGGCTGTTTTGTGGTTTTTTAATCAAAGATATCAGCAATGAAAAATCCTGCAATATATAAACTATAATTAGTTATAAGTTAAACAGACCACGTTATATTCAGTATTGCTGTTTTCACTGCAGTTGTTGCACTGATGCTAAGTTGAAACACAGCAGTATGGTTACAGAAGTAAACATAACGACAATAAAGAGTGTTGAATCTTGAACTTTGAAGGCAAAAATTGCATACTGTAAATTTAGAGATTACATTTTCAGTCCTTATTCTAAGCTCTGTTCCCTCAAAATATTTTGCCTGGTGAAGGGGAACTTGGCTGAATAAATAAATCATTTAGAGGTGGGAGGATTTCTTTTCTCTTTTTTTTAAAGGAAAGACAAAGTGGTACTCATGCCTTCATGCTAATGTAAACTCCTGATCTCAGATAGAAAAAACAGCATCTCTCTCAGTTTGTCCCTCTAGGAACGAGAATAAGGAAGCACGTTTTACAGTATATTTGAACTGGAACTGCTGAGCATTTGTCGCGTTCATTTTGATGTTACCTGTAGACCAAGCGCACTCCAGCCTCATTCTCAACCATCTGCTCCAAAACCTTCACCCCTCTGTAGTACACAGATATCTTGAATTGAGTCTCTGTGGATTCAGAGACAGGGGAAGTATATGAGGAAAGCTGCTTACAGTTCCACTCTCTCCCTGCTATTCACATTGTCAGGGCGCTTTGTATTTAAGTCCCTGTTAAACATGTTCCATTTGAATACTGTGTGTGCTGGATGTCATTTCAGAGTGTCTGTGTAAAAATCCCCATTTGTCTGATACAGCAGCATCCCACCCCCACCCACCCCCTTCTCCAACTTACTGAAATTATCTCTGGTCTTTTGCATTGTCTGTAGGAACTGTGCCGCCAACTGCTCATCATAGGCCCCTCCCTCAGCTCCCCCAATTGGATGTGCTGGTTGCTCAGGCAACCCAGCTTCAGTAACTGCACCCTCATACATTACTGGATACTGCTGTTGCCCAGGCAACGGGTGTCCACCAATCGCAACCTGATTCTGCAGCTGCTGTTGCTCGGGAGGAGGCTCAAAGCCTGCGGTGCCCTCTGTGGAAAAGTTGGAGAAACTGAACCAGCTTGTAGAAAAGTACCTGAGATACTCTTTGTTTTCTGCTCTGACTGCAGCAGCGAGGAGGAAAATGATAAGCAGAGCTGATAAGCCTACCTGCTTCAGGGCTGATGTTCATTCCTCTGAGACACTCCTGGAGAATATCCGGGCTGGCAGCAGATTCTGCTGGCAGATATGGACCAGACACATTCAGATGGCGATTGTCGCTAATAAGCGCCAGACTAATGTTCCCCTTCTAAATCCAGTGAAAAAGGCAATTGCTCTCACCCAAAAACACAGCGCCTTCTGGAAGTAAGAGACATCCTTCTAAACACTGGATGTCTTGGGTCTGGAATAACACCGACACACATCTTATTCACTTACATCAATACCCAGCATTTCAGCAATACCTCTTTTTTGTTACCATCTGTCCTCTTACAGGTAAACAATCCAACAGAGCAGTCTCACCTCTTGAATGGAAATGCCCAGATCTGCAAAAAAATCAGCCCCATCTTGCTCCTGGGATCCAGCACAAGAGTTAGCTTCAGGAGTGAAAACAAGCATTTTTTTTTTATTTTCTGAGAAACATGTCAGTTAGAGATACAGAGACATGAGTGTATGCAAAATGTGCTGCAGGACAGACAGGAACTGAGCATGCGGTGCAAAACTGCATTATCACATTTAAATTGCAAATGCAATATGAAATTGATTGATTGCAGTTATAAAATGAGTAAAAAGCAGAACATCCTGCTGATCTTTTTTTTCTGTGCATTTTGAGTGCCAAACAGCAGAGTTCGCTTGAAATAAGCAAACATTTTCTTTTGCATTTGCTTTCTATCCACTGTAGCTAAGATCCAAATGGTCAGTGGGTCTTCACCTTTTGACGTTGACTCGTCCGGCCACTGAAAGACTTTATGGGGGTTAGCGGCATCATTCTTGTTGTCATCCACCATTTTGAAGCCTTTAGCTCGTAAGGCGCTGCGGAAGTTCCTCTTCCAGACTGAGGGGTCTCCATTAGCCCGGCCGCTGCCGCTCACCTCCGCCCAGGCCTGCGGGGCAAAACCAGGATGAAAGCCGGAAGAAACTCCTGATGTGAACAGACTAAAGACTAACAAAGAACGGATTAGTGGACAAAGAATGAGATAAGCAGAAGATGGACGGATAGCTGATATCAAATTCATGCTCATGACTGGTTTCTATTAGATTGTCATGTCATGTCATGTCAGCCCTTGATGGTTACCTTAAAGATGAGAATGTCAGTGTTAGAGGAGTCCTGTCTCAAAGCGTGTTTCCACGGGATGCAGAACTTTGTTTGCTCTGGGTTTGTCCACTGGACACCAGGATACTTGTTGCTGTTAATCTGCTCCCGCAGCCACGGGATGAGCAGTGGTTTCGAATGAGCCATTTCTACAATAAGACAAAATATAACGTGAGCTGTGTCATCACAGCCTGACGTACAGCTTACTGATCCTGTACTCTTTTGCTATCATACGAACGATCACTGTATAGTAACTTGGATGTGATGTAGGCTATTCCTTCATTCCGGCAGTTCATTAAAATAGCTCGTCTGTACTGGAGGTTAGATCTATATAATTATTTATATACAGACAAATTTAATAGCCCACCAATCATAAAAAAGAAGAAAACAAACAAAAAATAATAATAATGAGGAAATCTCTCAAAAACTGACTCATATTTATTCAGTAAACAACAAACTGAATTCATGTATTTATATCCAAATTTGAATCGGCACACTGGTCCTCTCTGAGAAGTCAGAAATTATTAAAGCATAAAAAACACAAGTCATTTTTCGTTCAGGAATGAAAGTAAACAACTGTAATTTTGCATCTTAATCCAAAAATAATCATTTACTGTCCTACTTTTTCTGCTTTCTTTTGTAAAACAGTACATTTTAAAAATCATACATAAGAACAATATTTATATTATTACAGTAAAAATATGATTTTGATTAAAGAGCGCAGACTTGCTGATGACATTTACAGAAATATAAAAAAAATGCATATAATGGTAATTACCAGTACTTTGGCATAAACCTTACATTGAGTAGTGCTCTAACAAATTTGTCAAGAACAGTATATTCATATTTATTTATTTATAATTAATTTTCTTGTTTAGATTATGCATTCATTTGAACTATATTTCCATGCTTGCCTGCAGATGGTGCTATTTAGTTACATCTCATGCAACAACAGCAAAAAAAGTAATCTATAACTGACACTATTATATTAGCATTAGTGAGTTAACAGAAAAAAGGGGCCAATTTAAATGAAGGTTTCATTTAGACGATCAAATATGCGTTAGATTATCAAAAGTTTAAGAAGAAACCTGAGCATGAACATCCGGATGTCAGGAAAGCTGTCGTGCAGCTGGGACGATTGCAGGTTTTTATTGCCAATTTTCAATTGCATGAAAGAGGAAGCGGGCACATAGACAACAGCTGTTCAGCAACACTAGAAACGGTGTAATTATAAAGATTAATTAACTAATTAACAACATAACTTACGATAATATAAAATAGTATTAAAGTGTAGTAATACTAAACACTGTGTTTATAATGTATTGAAGTGTAATGTAATATATGAAAGTACTTATATAATCCTAAAAATCTTCCACACAGCATTTATTTTCATTATTTTAGGTCATATTTTTAATAACAGTTATTTAGGCTGGTCTTGTTGTTTAACTGTCGTCAAAGTAGAGCATAAGCGGTTCTTACAGCTGCCTGAACCAAAGATATTCAAGTGCAAACCCTCCAGGATCGAAAACGAGTACAGTCTTTGAACGATGCTGTAGTCATAGTAGTAACCTTTGTATTAATGCCACTCTGGGACAGCGGTGCCAGCACTAACAACAAAAACTCTCCTACCTTCAGTGATGACGTTTCAGTCGGTGCAGGTGAGAGTTGACTTCAAAGTCAGAGCGTTTCCTGGGTGCAGAAATCAGTACAGTGACGGCTGTACGGTAGCTGTGTGTCGTGTCACCTGAAGCTGTGCTCCAAACTGTCACATACCGTCCCCGCCGCAGATACTTTAAACACTGCCCTGAGTGCGGCTGCTTTCCGGCTAACAAGCCTTTCTCGGGAAACTCCGAGTTCACGGTTTCGTTTTCCAGATGTGACGTCAGCGACGGGTTCATACCAGCTGGTCCCGCTAGGAGGGGTTACACACACACACACACACACACCCTCACATTGGCATAATGCACATCTAATCCCTCTGAGGTAAACAATTAAGACAAATGGAAATACCCTGCTTTGAAAATTAATGTCTTTATGGAAAGTACATTGGTTGAAAAATGTATACCTGGGTGAACCGCAACAGGGAAACTTCTGTCCTTTTTGCTTTAATGTGTCAAAACAGCCAAGTAGGACTAGTTGTTGAGCACATTTGTGTGTAAACTGGGACTTTCATTTTAAACATAAGAGCCACCCAAACAGAGCTTCCTCTTAAGGTCTCAATAAGTTGAGATGTCCCTGGTAAATGGTAAATGGACTGATTCTTATATAGTGCTTTTCTACTCTCTCAGAGTACTCAAAGCGCTCTATACAACACGCCACATTCACCCAATCACACCCATTCTCACAAGCACTTTATCTATACTTAGTGCTATCTAACTACATTCACACACATTCATGCTCCGATGGATGCATCGGAGAGCAACTTGGGGTTAGTATCTTGCCCAAGGATACTTGACATGCAGACTGGAGGAGCCAAGGATCGAACCACCAACCTTCCGATTAGTAGGTGACCTGCTCTACCTCCTGAGCTACAGCCACCCCTGCTAAGATGGATGGACACGGACACACACACACACACACACACACACATACATACATACATACATACATATGCATGTGTGTGCATATATAGCAAAATGAAACCATTTGTTCTTTGCAGCTTTTATTTGTTTCTCAAATACAGGAGAGTTAATGTACAGAAGGACAAAGAATTTCATCAAGAACTGTACAGTATTTACACATCTTTGTTTTCCTTTTTTTATGGAAAATTAGATTGTTTTCAAAATAAGTCATAGTATGCACAAACATCAAAATGATAAAAATGAAATGCCTATCTCATGTTTAAATATTCCTCGTTTATACTCCTCCTTCCCACGTGGGAGATGGACAGTTTACTTCTTTTTCTTTGCACCTGCATGAATGATGATTGAACTGAAGCACAACAATGTAAAGAGTCAAATAGAGTCTCCTTATTTTCCCCGTCCTTTTTTTTTTTTTTTTTCTTCCTTTTGCTGTTATTTTACACCCACTGTATTTGATACATGTCTGTCTCAACGTCTGGTCTTTTTTGGATAGAGGGGAAGACGACTTGGATATGTGGGTTATGATTGTATACTGAACCTGTGGAAAACAACTCTTAATAAAAAAAACCAAAAAACAAAAAAAGCATTTAAGGGCAGCAAACCAGCACTTGTGAGAGCTTAAGTTAAAAACCTCCTCATATAAATAATAAAAATGTGTTTATATATTATCACACAGCTGACTGGTGCTGCCCTTCACATAGCACAGAATGAGAGATAGCGATAGAGAGAGAGCGTTTATTAACACATTTCAGGTTTCTATCTGCCGACGAGTGAGTCCCCGATCACGCTGCTTGCGGCGCACGCAGTTTTTAAAAAGCATCCTCGCCCTCCTCTAATCTTTTTAAAAGCCAACAGCTGATGTTAGTCTTTTCAAAAAAATAATTTATGTAAAAACTAAGCGGTAATAGTTTCTCTTTGAGCTATTGTCTTTATGACACACAGTTAACAGGATGTCAGTGGCTCCCACATTGACTTGGCGATCCTCCTCTTTGTCCTTCCACCTTGCCTCTCTCCCTTTTTTTTTTCCGTAAAACAATCAGTTTCCTCTTGACCCTTCGGTGCCCCATGACCACGAGTGGGGATCCCCTTCTCACAAAGTAAGACATTTCTTTAATCATTGATCAACAACAAGAAAACAAAAAACAAACAAATTAAAAAAAAACAAAAAACAGGCCAGTGTCCGAGGTCACGTCAACAGACCCTCTCGTGTTCATCAAGGGCCTTAGAGATTTGAAGAGGGGAGGGGGAGGGGGCTGTACAGTAGGATCCATCTCTTTCCTCTCTTTCCTTTTTTGTTTTCAAATACTCTTACTTTAATTCACTGTCTGTGTCTTTATGTGGCTGAATCAGGCTTTGGTGCTGAGCGTGAGCAGCTCGATGAAGGAGCTGAAGAGGCTGTCCAGCCAGTTCTGGTTGGCCATGCACTGCTGCACCACTTCCTCTTGGCCCGGGTCCTCAGCTGCCTGCTCAATGGTGTTGGTCTGGGAGAATGGGATGGAAGGAGAGACAATTGTAACCAAACCAAACACATGGAAGTAGAAGCTTCAAAATGAGCAGAAACAACATGGTTTCTTACCTCTTTCTTGCACTGTAAGAAGGTGTGGTATTTATAATGATGCAGGGAGTGGTAGAGACTGTAGATCCGATAAGACTCGGCTGACAATTTAAGGTCCTATTAAAAAGAACTTGGATTATTGCTGGGGTCAATTTTAGAGAGATTATTTAAGGGAAAAAAAAGTAAAGTAAAATTAAGTGTTGCTGTTCTGGGTTTGGAAACTTGCAACAGGCGTTTGTGTCCACCTACCACCCTTCACAGTAATGATTAATTCTGTCAGTGTAGTGATTTCAGTGACTATCGTAGTTCAAGGCTTTTTTGTGATTGACAAAATTTACAGTCACACAAAATTTCACAGAACTGTGCACAGATGTACTGCTGTATGCTGGGATTTCTAACTATTCATAGCGTTTAGCAAACACAAAATAATGCACACCTGTGGTTTAGGCAGGGTCTTCTTGACTCTGTTGAGGGTCTTGCGGTTGTAAGCATCGCCGCTTAGCCGGACCCTCACCACTCCTGAATCCAGGGGGTCTACAATTATCTGGGGGTAAGCATGCAGGACCTCCTGTAGGGAGAGGGGCAATGAGGAACAGCCACAAAACAGTCACACAAAAAACACCAGTGTCCTCAAGTTTGAGGATCATTTCATCTACCTGCCGGCATCCTGTTACAGAGTCTACCAAGGTTATTAGTTGGCTAAACCATTGTATTCAACTAATACAAAAATAAATACTATACTTTTGAAATAAAAATTAAACTAAAATATTAGTTAAGAAAATAGTGTCAGTTATCTGTTAGTCTAGTGGTTTTCAAACCCCCTCCATACAATAATAATTAAAAATCCAGATATGAATTGGTTAAAAATATAACATTTTTTATGCAGATTTAACAGCTTTTTAAGCTCAAACAAGTAAACAACTTCATGTCAAGTCAAGCATGAGATCCATCCACCAGTTTTAACCACCAGGGGTACTTGTTACCCTTAAGGCATCCGTCATTAAATTTGCATCGTCTCATTTCCATAAACAAAACTGTTTTTTTCCCCTCATTCCAAACTAATGTTTTGGTGTGTTGTGGCAACCTTCTGCAATCTGAGTCTTGGGTGAACAAAAGTAGCACAGGAAGCAGAAATGGCATTATTGTAAGCTGTAGGTGACTAACATGATATAAGATCCATCCAGAAAAAAATGAAATACCTTTTAAGACACTTTGACTTTGTGTAAAGTGTAAATAGGTTTCTTCCAACACAAACATCAGCATATTTTACAGGCGGTAAAACAGAGCAGTGTAAAATACTTTTATTACCTTCTATTATGTGAGCCAGAGGGACAGAAAAATAAGCAGCACATTCACAGATTACCTGGTGTTGAGAGCTCATGCTGACTCTCCTCAACAACCTCCTCTTCTGTTCGCTAAGGATGCTGTCAATCTTCCTCATCGGAGGGAGGTAGAGCTCATCTGATGGCCAATCAATGTAAAAGACGTTTCATTAGTCATCATTCATGTAGCTGCCAATCATTTTAATGCCAGCAGCAAACTGAAAGCAGCTCTCCCTGGCTGCAGTTCTTCATGCACTCCCAGGGCTTCCCCCCCTAACCTGTCACAACTGGTTTATCTGGACTGCTCATAAACTCATAACGTGTGGGGCTGTTTGTCCAGCCGGAGGCTTCGACCTAAAACCTGGCAGCTGATACTTGACAGAAACAGTGATGTTTACTAAACCTGCCCAAACTTTCTGCTTACGAAAATACTTCCATCCAGTTGTTTCAATGCAGATATTTAAGCTAGAGAAAAGTGAGCTACCAGACAGGCTAACCCAGTTAGAGCAGAGATTTTCTCACTTAATAATTGCATCTGATAATTATTTCTTTATTTTTTAGTTAACATAAAAACTGGTAATTATGTTGAGAAGGATGTGTGTGCGGTTCTCACCGTCTGTGTCCTCCAGGGCTTGGATCATGTCAGGGTCCAGGGCCGTGCTCACCAGCATCTCCACGTAACTCCTGAACATCTCCCTCATGGCACGGTTGTTCACTCCACCTTTCACTGGCACTGTGGGTGACAACCAGTTTTAAACGGAGTCTTCTACCATCACACTAATTAAAATGTGAAAAAACCCAAAACAAACACATCTACAGTGAAAGAATTGAAGGGTCTCACTTTCATTTTCGCTAGCTGCCTCGTCCGATGAGTCTGAGTCAGATGATGAAGGTACTTCCTTCAGCCACTTCTTCCTCTTCTTGGGCGGCGGCTCTGCCTTCACCTTGGCTAGCTTGGACTTGGGTGGTCGCTCGGCCTTTTCCTTCTCCTTCCTCTCCACCACTTTCCTGTCTTCCTTCGTCCTACCTCGCTCCGCTGCACGTTTCTCCGCTTTCTCCTGCTGCGGCTGCACCCGCTTCTCCTTTTCCCTCTCTTTCTCTGTGTCCCGGTTTTTCTCCTTCTCCTCAGCTTTAGGCACAGCAGCTGAGAGCTCTTTCCTCTCTCGTGGTTCTTTTGTCGTCGTCGTGGTTGTTGTGGTCGCCGTTCTTGTTTTCTCCTTCTGTTCACGCTGGACTGGTGGAGCCACTCTCTCCTCTTTCTCCACTACTCTTGATGGCACCTGAGTGGCAGGAGGGGACGCCATTCTGGGAAGGGACTGACGTCTGTAGGATGAGGAAATCAATTTTATTTACTACAACACAGTATAACCATTGAGGGTTTTTTACTCATCCTGTCCTCAATTGTTAAAAAGTCCAGAAAAACAGTGATGATTCGATCATCAACAACCAGCTTCTGTAGATGCATTTCCCTAATATCTGAAATGATTGGATGGTAGTCGCATCATTGATCTACTCTAGTTTGTTTCAAATTCTTTATGGGCATGGGTTTCAGCATGAAGAACATTCTTACCTGAGAGCAGGTGTGGCTCTGCGCCACGGTCTCCTGGAGCACACTCTGACATAGTCCTTTTTGTTGACATTCTCCAGAAACTTGACATATATTCGCTGATAGCGCCTCTTAGCATCTCCAAAGTATCCAAGATACTGAGCCAGAAAAGGAAGAACAATTTTTAGTTCCATTAAATTTGATGATGATATAACAATACAGACAGGCGTAAAGCTAACAGTATAGCATACATTGCATTATTTTATGATATTATGGCTAGAACACTAAAGAGCATATAAACAGACTTGTTTGAAGGTACATTAGCGAGGGCGTGGGGTGAACTCACATTGCTTGTGGCACAGAACTGTCTCTGCCCATCTTTGATCTCTGGGCTGAACTTCTGCAGCAAGGCTTTCTGCACCCTCCAGATGGGTGGAGGCTCACGGCCAGTCTGCAAGGCCAGCTGTATCCAAACACACAATCAGTTATTTTACTGTATTTAAAACTCTACTGATGCCTTCGTAGCCACATAAAGATTAATATATAGGTTCAAAGAAAAAAAAAAAAGAAAAAAAAAAAGAAAAGAAAAAAAATTCACAGATTCATATAAATACCTTGAGTGTTCGAATGTCCTCCACACGCACCACAAACTCATCCCTTTCTCTAAAGATGCCCTCCCCTCCACTCTCACTCTCATCCTCCTCGCTCTCTCCAACAATGGCAGCATCTTCTTGCTTTTGGGCAAGATGCAGCGAGGTGATCTTAGGAGCTGGGGGCTCTTCTGGAGAGGCGGGGGACTCGGGAGATGGCATGGGAGACTCCTTCTGAGCTACAGAAGGAGGAGGGGAGACTGGAGCTGGAGTAGGGGCTGAAGCAGGAGGAGGGGGAGGAGGAGGGGTGGCAGGCTGTGGGATAGTAGCCAGTATGGGAGGTGCAGGTGGGGGGGAAGGAGGTGTGGGGGCGACAGGGCTCGGAGGCTGGGAGTCCTCCTGCTCTTGTTGTTCTTCTGCTGGAGGCAGGGGTGAGGGGAGCGAGAGAGGAGGGAGGGGAGAGTGAGAAGGAGACGAGGATGAAGCAGGAGATGGAGGAACAGAGGGAGGTTCAGGAGTTGTGGGTTCTGGAGGAATCTCAGGGAGAGGAGCTGGAAGGAAGGTGGGACAAGAAATTCAATACCATTAATTCTTTTAACAAACACATCAAAGGAATTTCTAAACTAAATTTCTAAAAGGCAACGCCCACTCTTACCATCAAGCTTTGGTGCACCCAGGGTCTCCAGCTGTGGTTCCTCCGTCATATCACTCTCTTCATCGCCACCGGTGCTTCTCTCCTCTTCATTCTCTTCCTCCTCCTCTTCTTCCTCCTTATTCTCATTCATGTCTACATCTTCTGGCTGAAGGACATCTGGTTCGTTGGATTGGGGCTGGGTGTGGGGGGTGTGCATGGCAGGCTGTGGGCTAAGCGTCGGGGGCTGCATTGCGGGTGTAAGAGGGCCTTGACTTGGTTGATTTTGAGACTGGGGAGGCGGTAGCGGGGGCTGGATGTTTGATGTCAGCTGAGGAGTGTCATACAAAGCAGAAATTGCTGAGGAGATGCTCTTCTGGAGGTCCTGGTTCTTTCCCACTGAGTCCTCCTCATCGGAGGAGAAAGAGGGCAAAGTCTCCAGATTCCTCTTTAGCTCATCTTCTAAACGCTTTGGGCTGGGGCAGTTGCCCAAAGCCAGACCTCCATTACCTTCACCATCCCCGAATGGGGGCGGTGGTGGTGGTGGAGGTGGTGCAGGAGACAGTGAGCGTAGTCCTCCTGATTTACAGGGTGAAGTTTCACCATTGTCAGGTTCCATTCCCGGTGAAATGTCCAAGCCTGGATGTCTCTTTCCCGTTTTCAGGAAATCCAGAAATGAAGCAACAAAACCAGCCTTGGACTCAGAGTCCTTCTCATCCCCCTAAAAGAAAGATAAAACAAGAACCTCTAATTCAGATCAAATACAAAAACTATCGAGCCACAAAGTCAAATTATGTTCATTTAAATTCAGCCTGAGAAATTTTCAACATTTTATTCTTCACACAGCGAAGATGAAATCCTGTAGCCGTTACCCTTTCCTCCAGCCCCTCATCATCCACTCCTTCACCCATCATCTGGCTTTTCTGTTTGATCTTGTCCTGACTTCTGGTGCTTTCAGTGCTGCAGGGAGGTCCGGGACTTAAACCAAGTGAGGGAGCAGAGCCAACTGAGCCGTCTGACAAAGCAGGGTCCGTGCCAGACAAAGAATCTGTCCTCAGCAAAGCATCAGAGGAGGACAGAGTACCAATGGGTAACTTGATCTGAAAAGAGAATAAACCTCATATTAATTGTATTTTTGCATGAATGTAAAGGCGTAGTTGGCAAAAATCTAGAAACCTAAGATAAATTCATTTTAAATTTAAGAAATAATCAGTTATAATAACTAGGAAAAAAACTGGAGGACAGTGACTAATAATGAAACAGAGACAGAGAGAGGAAAAAAAACAAAAAAACAAACACAAACAGCAGCCTTCAGCTGGCTCACGACTCCAATAAGAAGCATCCACACACAGGTAACACTCCCTGCTATCACATCAGTAAATCTATGTTATTTAAAGTCAGGGCTTATATGTGAACCCCTTCTTTTAGATGGGATTTTACAGTGACCACCATCAGACCACAATAAAAAAAACAAAAACAAACAAACAAAAAAACTAGTGTTTGCTTTGTACTTTTATTAGCGTCAAACCTGCCTTTTCCTGGCAGAATCCCACTGACCTTGAGAGGTGGAATTGGCTCATGCTGCTGCTGTGGCTGGTGATGGAGCTGCTGTGGCGGCTGCTGCTGCTGCTGATGGAGGTGATGGTGGTGCATCTGATCCGGCTCCTTCCCGCTCATTTCTATATACATATCCTCCCTTCTTCCTCCCCTGCCTCGGCTTCCACGGCCCCTACCTCTCCCTCGCCCCTCTACGCTGAATCCCCCTCCTACTGTCATTCCGCCCATCTCCCCCATCATCCCTCTTGGAGTGTACGGCTCAGGCATAGGACGGATACGGGGTCTCCCTCTTGGCCTTGGAGGACCCTCTCTTTTGGGCCTAGTGGGCTTTCGGCCTCTCTTCTTGGGTCCTTCTGGAGGCAGAAGTGTGTGTGAACCCATAGTCGAGTAGCCAGAGGAGTGGTAGAAATCAATGTCACCCATTAAAGGGCTGAGAGAGCCACTTCCTCCTCCTCCCTTTCTGCAGCTGGACACCAAATCCGGCAACAAGTCCGGGAGTCTCCGGCTATTCAGTCGGATGTCAGCTGGCTGGTCGGCTTTATCCTCATCGTCTTCAAACTCGTACTCTTGAGCATAACTTTTCTTAGGCAGTGTGTTGGGGTCCCTGCGCTCCTTTAACAGGTGGAAAGAGCTAGACTTAAGGAGCTTCTTGGGACGAGATGAGCAAAAAATGGGAGACTGGAGACCTCCAGAACCAGGTCCCGCGTTAGTTCCTCCAGGCCCTGAGGACATTTTAGCTCCAGAATTGTTGGGACCAGCTGTATTGGAGGTCATACCCATCGCTGGGGCCTGTGACTGTATCAAACCTAGCTGCTCAGTGTTGACAGTTGAAGGCAGCTCATGTGTTTTAAGGGAGTCTAGATCCAGGGTCATGGTGTTGTTGGTAGGTTCATCCAAGCCATGACAGTAAGGTTCATAACCCTGGTCTCCACCATGATGACCCATTATGTCATAACTTGGGCCACTGCTTCCCCCTGCTCCACCTGCACTCTGTCCCGCTTTCAGTGCATCCATTCCTTCTTGCCCGGTGTGGCTTTCATTCATCTCTTCCTGCCCTGGTCCTGCACCACCAGCACAGCTAGACTTGTAGTCCTCTGCGCAAAACATGTCCTCCATTCCTGGAAAAAAGGAGCGGTCTTCATCCTGAAGCAGGGAGTCTGGGAAGCAGATAGACGTTAAGGGTACAAAGCGGTTACTTTGCTGATTCTGGTCTGCTTTCTCCACGGGGCTGACCGTGTCAAACTGGTGCTGTTCTGAGCGCTGCTGGTCCAGCTGGCTCTGCTGAGGGGTGAGCTGGGCTGAGAGCGGCTGCTGTGGGTCAGGCTGTGGCTGCGAGAGGGCCGAAGCAGAAGGTGGGGGTATATGATGAGGGTGAGGAGGCTGCTGCTGAGGGTGGGGCTGTGTATGTGGGTGGTGAGAGTGGGTTTGTTGGTGTTGCGAGGACGGATGCTGCTGCTGCGCGTGGTGCTGGGAAAGGTGATGCATGTGAGACGGGGTGGATAAGCCGATGTCAGGCTCCGTAAGGAAGGAGTGGAGTTCAGAGGCTGAATGCTGCTGCGAGTGGTGGGTTTGGGGAGGCTGATGGTGGGGCGCATGCTGCCTCTGCTGCTCTTGCTGCTGTTGTCGGTGGCGCTCGCCACTCGCTCCGCTCCTTCCTGCGCTGCCCGGTCCGCCACGTCTGTCTTCTGCAACTGCGACGTCTGTGCTGGAGGTTTGGGAGAGGGAGCGCTCCAGCATGTCCAGGGAAGAGACCACAGAACTTTGTTTGACCTGGCTCTGCTCGTGCTGATGTGGAGGGGGCCCGTGGTTGTAGTGAGCCGCTGCTACCTCCAAAGCTTGGGACTGCAGCTGAAGCTGGAGCTGGGTGGCTTGGGACTGAGACTGAGGCTGGTGTTTACTCGAGCCAAGTCTCCCACCAGTATTATCCATTACAGCTTGTTGTTGGCTAATAGAGTGCTGCTGCTGCTGGGGGAGAGAGTCCATTTTATGGTGCTGCTGATGCTGTGAATGAGAGTCAATTTTGTGGTGCTGCTGATGTTGGTGGGAGTCCATCTTCTGGTGCTGTTGGTGCTGAGGATGGGAGTCCATTTTGGGGTGCTGCTGATGCTGTGGGTGGGAGTCCATTTTGTGATGCTGTTGGTGTTGCCGATGAGAGTCCATCTTGTGGTGCTGTGGATGGGGCTCCATCTTGTTGCGGGTAGTGTGAGACAGCACCGACTGGAGCAGATGTGGCGGCTGACGGGACTGATCGGTGGGAGAGTCCATCAGGGACGCAGCAGCTTGAGACTGGGAATGCTGCTGTTGGATTTCAGGTGTTTTCCGTGGATAAGGGATTTCTGCACGCTCCTGAGGCTTCTTCTGGAGCTCCATTTGGGTGTGTGGTGGTATCTGCGAGTGTGAGGACACATGTTGAGTGTGTGAGGAGTGCTGGGGAGCGAGGGAGTGCTGAGTGTATGGGTCGCCCCGGCCATAGTGGACTACGGAGCCCAAGTTATCATGGTGATGGAGGTGGGAGTGTACTTGTTCAGCACTGCCTCTCCCACCGCTGCTCCTGCTGCTTCCCACGGAGCGCTCGTTCCTTTGCTGCTGCTGCTGTTGATGGTGGTGTTGTTGATGTTGCTGCTGTTGTTTCTTCAGTGACATCTCCAGCTGGCTATCCAGCCCTGAGATGGACCCTCCAGAACCTGCATTACCTACTCCAGCAGTGGTTGTGGCACTGTGGGTACGTATGACACTTTGCGGGTGGTACCTCTCCTCAGGAGTCTTACTCATGTCATAGCTCATCCCTTTGCCTGAATCAGTGGTTGGGGGCACTGACTGGGGCTGAGGCTGTGTTTGTTGAGATGTCTGCTGGGGCTGTTGTTGAGGATGGTGATGAGCAGCCTGAGGAGCAGGGCTCGCTTGGGCTTGCAACAGATGTTGGATCAAGAACTCATCATCGTCATCTACTTCCTCTTGAGATCTCTGAGAACCCACGCCTAGCATAGAAGTGTCCGCCTTCGTCTTGGAGGAGGTGGAGTGATACGACTGAGGTTGGGAGCTGGGACCTCTGGTGTCAGGGAAGCCTTGTGGGGAGGCTAAGAAAGTCGGGGAGAGAACTGAGGAAATGTATTTATTTGAGCCTGGTCCTCCTGGAGATTGAGTAGGGCAGTTGGGTACTGGAGAGTGCAACCCTGGACGGATGATGCCAGAGTTGCCTGATGGAGAGGGACTGGAGTCTGGGATATGGTAAGACGCACCTCCACTACCTCCTCCACCTCTCTCATTGGTGAGACCATTTCCTGCTCCTCCCCCTGAACCAGAGTTTCCACTTCCTGTGCCACTGCTGCTTCCTCCCCCAGATGCTCCACTGCCTGACGAACCACTTGACCTTAGAAGGGCAGGTGAGTGGCCTGGGGCTCCATAGCCTAGCGATGGGCTTCCAGCTCCACCCAGAGAGGATGGAAGTGATCCATAAGCAGAGTCAGTTCCATATAGATCAGTGGAATAAGACTGGCTTCGTCCTCCCAGACTCCCATAGCCTTTCCCTCCAGTACCTGAGCTCAAGTCTTGAGCTTGTGGTGAACTAAAGCCTCCGTAGGACTGAGCCAGGTGAGATGTGGGGGGTTGATTAGGGGAATATGACTGTGTTTGTTGCTGCGGTGGGGTCTGACCAGTTAGAGCAGATGTGGGGGTCTTCACTGGGGGGACAGGAGAGCCATAGCCTGAGAGGCAGGATTTTGGAAGAGATTGGGGAGCTGATGTAGAGGTGGCAGGAGGCTGCTGCTGAGGGGCTGGAGGAGGCGGAGCTGGCTGAGGGGGTGGCTGTTGCCTGGAAGGGGCTGCACTGGAAGTGGAGGTGGGAATCGAGTTGGAAGGATGAGCCCCAGAGGTGGCAGAAGAGGAAGAGGAGGAAGAGGAGGTGGATGAAGCCGAAGGGGGAGTGTGAGGAGTTCTGGAAGATGATGCAGAACTGCCAGAAGAATAGCCACTGCTCGAGCTGCTTTTGGTACCTTTCCCAGCTGAGGAGGAAGAGGAGGAGGAGGAAGAGGAGGAATAGGGAGGCTGATTAATTGACCGATACTGCTCAGTGCGGGAGGTGGGCTTGTGGTCAGATGAGGGGCTCTGGTCTCCCAACGGACTGCAAGAAAGTCCAGCATGCCTGTGATGGGTGGCGATCTGCTGGTACCCAGGCCCTGAACAGCCGAGGTAGTGCTGAAGAGAGTGGGCAGCAGAGGACGAGAGCTGAGATTGAGCTGGCGTGGGGCGCTGGTAGTGTTTGATAACGCTGTCCTGCCGAGGCACGGCCCTCTCCTGAGCAGAGTTAGACTGGGACTGAGACTGAGGCTGGGGCTGGGCTGAGGGAAAGACTGACGGATTATACAGCTGGGAGGACTGATCCTGTAGCTGTGATGACAGCAAGTTGAACTGGTGTGACTGCAGGTGCCTGGCAGAGGACGCTTGGGCTGATGTGGCACCTGTGGGATCCTGACTGCCCCTGTAAGCAGCTGCAGCAGCACCCTGTGAGGACAGGAGTCTATCAAATCCCAGACTTGACTGAGATGGGGCTTTTATGTGTATTAGGGGGTCATGTGGGGAGAGCAGACCATTGGATGTTGGACTGAAAGTGGGTGTGTCCTGGAGGGAAAGGGAGGCACCAGGGAATGAACGGCTGGAGAAGGAAGCCGGATGCTGATAGGCTGATAGAGCTGAGGAGGAGGGAAAAGAGCCAGAGCCAGGAAGGGCTCCCGAGATGAATAGTTCAGGAGGAGCAGGCGTGTGCATCGCTGTTAAGAAAAGGAAGACATTGCAAAATTACTCAGTAACCTTCAAGCTATCATTTCAAAATCTGACATAAATTAATTAGTAAAACAAAAAAGAGGATTTAAAACTAATCAAGTCAAAGGGAAAACTATAGACAAGGACAATAAATATTTGATAAAACACACATAGTCACACACTCAGAATAATAATGATGGGCAAACATTGGGCGTTTTTTTAAATGTCATATTGACTGTGGGGCCTGTTTGAATGTCAGCACATCAGGGAAGATCTAACATAGCCCCACCTGTTTGCCAGGATGGCGTGCGGAACTGGGATAGTAGGGAGGAGGCAGAGGGCGGAGGCTGGGGACCCCGGGACTCCAGGGCTGAGATCAGATTCATGACGGAGGCATCGGGAGCAGAGGGGCTGGCGTGGTGGAGGCCAGTATCAAACAGCCCAGACAAACCTTTAGAAAAGAAAGACAGAACAATGAAACATTTGTTCACTGATTAAGATCAAGATTGTATTTTGTATTAATTAATTAATTAATTAATTAATTAAAAATATCAATCAATCAATTTAACAAAAAAAAAAAAAAAAAAGCCAGTTGCTCAGATGTACGTAAAGTAAGAAAATTAGGTTTAACTTCTCGAGAGGTTTATTTGGCAAACCTGATGTAAAGCAAAGAATATAAAAGGGAACTGTAGAAGTTCCAGCTGTATCTAAAAAAATACATAATTCATAAGCCATTGGGGAAAAAAACGTATGAGAATGAGCACAAGCTTCAACATCCGAGGCTTTGACTCATCCAAGCGATAATGTGCACATTTTTCAATGACAATAATCTGCCAGGGCCTGTATGGACAGACACAATAATTCATTGCCAGGGCCCCTTATGGTGGTGACATGGAAGGTATGACATTTATCTTACCCAAACTCCGTCCAGCTGCTCCCCAAGCTCCGCCTTGGCCAGAGCTCCCTGGGTGGTGATTGGTGGCATAGCCCTGCAGAGGGTGTGGGGTGGCGTAAGCTTGCCGGTGAAGGAGCTCAGACTCTGGGTGGGATGATCTGGAACTCCCATATACAAGACTGGGGAGACATGGGAGTAGAGAGGATGGGTGAGGAGGGGTTGTGAACTGTCAGTAATTTCACTCATATGAGAATTTATGAAAACATAATCTGTTCTCACAACGTGACCCATGAGAAAACACTTCCTGATCTGGGGTCTACCTTTTAAAAACACACATCTAATATGCAGGTCGCTCATTTAATGAAAGATGTTACATCCAGCCCTACTCATTAGGGGCATACCCTTAATATCTTCATGCTTCTTGGACGTGATCTACAGGTGTAAAGCAAATCTCTGATAAGTATTGGATTACAGAATTGTTCATTACATCCAAATGTATTAAAACGTATGCAAATGTTTAAAACCAGCTGTATACATGCTATGCAAAAATAAAAGAACAGCTAATTTGCAATTATTATAATGAAATCAGAAGACACACTCATTGCATAATTTGTAATTTCCCAATCTAAATCAATTCCCTGCTTAAATATTAAAAGCTTCCACTGGCAGTACTGTGCTTTACAAAAGAGATGAAATGCGTGGCTGCCTGGCTAACCAGATGACATGCTAACATTTTGTGCTGCTGTTAGCACCGCCTAGCAGAGCACAGCAGCTATGGTAGAAATGCAGATACTAGGCCCAAACTGCAAGGCCAGCCTTGCATTTACATAAAGCATGGGTAACCAACGCTTGGAAGTGAGCCGAGTGAAAAATATAGTTTCCCTACTGAGCACCGAAGACAACTGATTAATATGCTTGTAAGCACTGATTATGATGATGGAGCTAACAGCTGGATGGTGCAAGCCGACGCAAATGCATGCTAAGCTGCATGCAAACATCAGCAACTAGCTAGGTTTGGTTTATCAAATATTATTCCCCGAGGGACCGCGAAGGCTTTCGAGTGTGATCCGGCTGCTACATCTGGGTTTAAATATCACACATGTGCATCTATACATGAGGCAATGACGTTTGCATGCACAGGCCTCGATACACATCCCTGCAACAGAGCGCTAGCTCTCAGGGCTAATCAAAGCTAAAAAAGACAGAGGCATCCTTACAGGGTCCAGCCGATTTTCACTACCACCAAATGCATTCACCCTTGGCCTAATTTTATTGAAATTTACTATTTAGGCAAACGATAAGCTGCATGTTTGACGCAAGAGTGGATGTGGGGCAATTTATTATGCAAATGAACCCAAATCATCCAAAATTTTAAAAAAACAAAAAAAAAAACCACAATTTGGATCATGCATGGCGAAAAAGACAGCCAAAACCTCAGTTATGATTGTTGCGTTAGCCTTGTGTGAATAATTTCCTTCCCCTTTTTTCGCCTCTTTAAGATGTGGTTATTTAAGAAATCTTTAATTAAATGCATCCTCTCGTTAATATGCATCAGTTCATCTTGTTGATGTCTGTTCGGGGGTGCTGCTGGAATGGCTTTGCTGCGTCTGCACTCTTTTCCAGATCCTATCAATCCAATGAATTTCTATCCATCTATCGGGGGTTTGTGTCCAGGCCTGCACACAGGGAACAATAATTCCTATGGATACTCCAGACATCCTCCTCCCCCCCACCACCATCACCACCACCATCACCACCACCACTACCTCCTCCACCCTGCCAGGTCTACCTAAAAAACCCACGTCTGTCAATCACATTCAGTTCATTTCCCCTACCTTTCCTTTCTCCACCCCGCCCACCCCCACGACACACACTCATCCATTCCTGTTTATAATATTATTACTATGCAACTGTTTGGATGACAATGCATTACACATAAAAGCAAGGCATGGGTCTATACGTGAATGGCGACAATTTGTTTACATGGGTCACACCGTGCAAAGTAGCACTAATGCATGCACATTGTCTGAATCCAATGCATACCTTGCTTTTGCCGTTCTCTCGTAACTCCATCCTGCTCCTGCGCCCAAATCACCGAATCCTGTTCCCGGGTAATTTCTATCCATTTATGTGGTGTACAGTGTGTGCGATGAGGATGAAAGCAACGAGAACGTCGCAGGGCAGGTTACGGAAAAAAAAATCCAGTCTCTCACGTTCTCGTTTTCAGACTATTTTCCCCGGTTTCATAAGCAAGTCCTCAGGAGTGGAAAACAGCATATTGAAAGAGAAATGGAGGGGAGGAGGAGAAAGCTGGATGAAAAAAGAGGGGGGTCTACGGGGTTATAATCCAACCACCTCCAAAAAAGCCAGTCTTTCTCCTATTCCTACGCCTTTCACATTTATCATTTCCACGAATGCAGATTTAGTCTGAAACCAGTCACGGTCATGATGAAGATGCCGCGGATTTGGCCGGTGATGGGCGAAATGCTGATAAACATTTGACTTGAATGCGTCCTTTTTCCACCGTCTCTCCTCCCCTTTTCTTTCGGCTAGTTTTGGCTAGGCTGCTAGCACGAGAAAAGATTGCAATCGACAAGCCACGTTGGTAGCAATCAGCCCCAGTAGACGAGCAAAGAAATCCACAATTTGAAAACCTCTTCCCCCTTTTTTTCCTCCCTTGCATGCAAAATCGTTCCCACCCCCCTTTCGGAGCAGAGCTGTTGAGCTAGCAGCAGATGCTAGCTGTCAGTAACGACGCATCAAAATAAAACGGGGCTGCTTTTATTTCCCCAAATGCTCGCTCCCCATATTTCTCTTTTGGTACATACAAGTAAAAGCGACGACGAGGTTGCTCACGAGAGAAAAAAAAATCCACCAGAACACGAAAAACCTTAAAGCCCAAACGAGGAAGTGTAAAGAAAGCAGGCCGCGTTTTAATATTTTTTACTCATTTTCCTCCGGAGACGCCATTTTTGAAGGCGGCTGGCCGCTTGTCCGTCCTCCCTCTCCCCCTTTCTGTGTCTCCGCCGAGACTCACTCACTGTCTGCGGTGACCTCCATTCACGCTTTTCAGTTTGCCAACTAGCCCTGCTCAAATTCTAGATTTTTTTTGTTACCTTTCTGAACCTTTACGTATCAATTTACACAAAATAGTCACCTGCTCGCTGCGAATGCTGCGATTTGCTTAGACGCGTTCGAGTGCAACAAAAAAATCCCTGTAATTATCAGATTTACGGGCCTCCATCAGTTACTTTACACATTCGCATCCAAAATGTCCAGCTACTTTGAGGTACAGAGGCATTTCCTGCTTCCAAAGAGATGCTTCATGAAATAATTTAATTAAGCTGCAGTTTGTCTCTAATCATTTAAACTCTAAGTACCGTCTTCCTTCCATAATCTTTATCATGCCAAAATCTGTTTAGATCTTTCTTTTTTTCTTGCTAATCTTATTATTTGGAGAACCTGTCTGCCAGACCCCACAATGCACATATTCTTTTACACCAGCAGATGGCACACTGGATTCTACAGTCATTATAAAGTAGGAGGGTTCAGTGGCTGAGACACAGGTCCACGCTCTTGAGCACGGCTTCGTGAGATACTTTAATTGGCTTGATTATCATAATAACTTGCCATTGTCTCCAAACGCTGCCCACATCCACCGAGATGCAACCAAGATGAGGTATTAGCGAAGTTACACAAAAGGTGAACGGGCTTTTAAATGAGTCACTGCCGAATGTAGATGTGGACCCCTTTGTGTGCCCATGATGCACACGCTCTGGAGGCCTATTTGTGCAGGTTATTATTCACATTATTGTGTGAATATGGATGTTTGTTGCCCTCTAGTGGCCAAGTTAAATATAACCACATACTGTAAATACCGCTTAAAAGCACAGGTGGCAAATATCACCAATGCCCTCTTTTATCTGTAGCATGCAAAGAGGACACATCATGCTGGTACCTATTCTGTTATGTTGAAAGCTGTATCCTGAACACTAAGTGGGGGAAAAGGCATCATAATCAGCTATTCTTGGACTGTGTGGGCCAATAAGATTTATATCAATATCTGATTTCTATCAATCAAGTGCATAATTTTGGTTAAGAAGCTGCTCTGGGGAACTATTCCTATTATTCCCTGTATTTTCTCTTAGTTTTAATAATTATTATGATGAGAGTCTGTAAAATTTTACATTATAACTATGGCTACAAAATAACTTTCACAATTTCCATATGTTGCCATTGTGGGTTATAGTTTGTGGAAGAAAAAGCTAAGTGCGTATGATGTCAGATTTCTTAAATTATGTGTGCGTGTGAAAAACATTGTCAAGATGAGTTAAAAGAAAAAACAGGTATTTTTTTTACTTTGGGTAGCATTAAAAACACTAACACTAACTGCCTTTAAAAGCCACTTTGTTTTGGTTAAACTCTCAGCTCAGCCCCCTTAAGCCAACAAAACATTTTAAAACAAAGTCAGGAACCCCGGTATCTTTTAAGCTAACCCCCCCCCTGTAGTGAGTATTTTGGATGCATTAGGGGACCTTTGTAATGCTCAGTGGTTGATTTAAAAGGTCAGTTATCTGCATATTCATTAGCAGGACAGCCAAACAAAAGAATGGGATGAGGGAATTTAAAGAATTAGGTACTTAATATACAGTGATGTAAATAAACTGGGAAATGAAAGGAGTAAGAGTGGCACAAAACTCAGTTGAACACACTAAAAAAAAAAGGAACAAAATTAAAGTCGCTTCCTAAATAACGTTCTCCTAACTTCCTGACTTTTTCCTTTCTTAAGCTTCTCACACACCATCACTGTCATGCCTCCTCCCCTCCTCCCTTACCTCCCTCCCTCCTGTGTCCCTCCATCCCTTTTAAAGCGTAACCATATTTGACTGCAGCTCCTGCAGTAGCACACCTCCACAAACTCCACTCTCTCTCCTGTCAAAATGCCAGACTTTGCCGACGCTGTGCCAGCACCATGCCAGGTAATCAAAGAGGACTCTGACAAATGGTGAGTTCTGACAGGAATAAAAGTTCTTTTTGCATTCAAAGTCGTAAAATGAATCAGTGATCTTGATTGCTGTTTCCAATCGGTATGACAGTGCATGAATAAAATATCCTTGTATAATGTGCTCTCGAGTAAGATTTATGAACAGTGTTTGGATTTGGGTTAATAATCTGGCCACTTTCCTGTCATTTTATGCACAATAGCCAGCGCCCACATTAACATGTCAACCAGTTTAAGTGTCTGTGGGGAGATCTACAGACTGCACTTAGAGTTCATACTAGTTTTTAAACATAACAACATCCAAATGGGACCCATACTGTAATGTCCTGCAGCATAAATATATATGAGGTTTAAAATAGACTTCCACTTGTAAACCCTATTGAAGAGGACCAGTACATTCCAGCTGGCTGGTTCATGTTACGTGCATGCAAGAAGATATTTAGTCCGTGTCCACGTGCAGCAGTGATTACTGTCAGTACAGCTGCTCTACAGATTACTCACTCATCTTCTCGTACTTCACCAAAGGCAGATAAAAGCCACACTGGAGGCTGAGTTGAAATATATTATTATCAGACCCAACTTGAATAATCCCTTTGATGTGGACTATATTTAGAAATATTCCTATTTAGCTTCAGATGGGTTCATTTGCTTTACATGTCTTCATATTAACACAAGTTAAAATTAAGGTCCTAAAGAGAAGAGACTGATGAGTGTGTTTTTTTAAATCTCACATTGTGTTTCAGTGTCAGAGACAAGGGGATGGAGACCTGTAAAGATCTGATGGATGCCTTCCAGGCCTGTGTAAAAACCCTGTCTGAGGGGTCATGATGCACAGTGAGATCCATTTAAATTTAAAAAAAAAAGTAAGTTCACAGAAATTGCTACAAACTCTTTTACACAGATTTTTCTTGTTCTTCTTCTAAGTCGGCAAAAGCTGAAGATTGTGACATAATCACAAAAGTCGGGAAAAGTCGGGAATAATCAGGCCAAAATAAAACTGTGTTCAAAAGCGAACGCAGAAAATGAAACAAAATAATACAATTTAAATAATTCTGTAGAAACTGTAGCACGTGTACTGTTGTGTGAATATACCTTTGATGGCAAACTGTTTATCTGAATATTTTGAATGACGTATGTGTGTACTTGTGTTTATTTTTCAATCACAGCTTTACCTCAGGTTCTTCACTTTCCCATCTTCTTATTACGCTGGAAGGAACCATCTGAAAACTGAAGAGGGGGGTGTTGCTTATGAATTTACCTCCATACTTCTACTTATTCTGTTATAATTGTTGTAATTGTTATACTCTAAGAGTAATTAGCTTACTGTGGATAACAAGTTTGTTTGATACCTTACAATAAACTTTTTTCAGCATACGTTATATTGTCTTTCTTTATGGCAGCACATTTTCTGTGTTCTTACATTATTATATGTTGGAGCCTCTCCACTGGTGGACCTGTATGTTCGACTTAATAGAATTAAGAAGAGCTTGTTAATCTCTGCTTAATCCCACTTTAGTACCTACACAGAGCAGTGTAATGTTACATCTGTAGTCTGTGTGTGGGGATCGCTGAAATGTACTAAGCTCAGAGTGGAGAAAGACCCTGGAAAAGATGTTTAATGGGGGTTCTAGAGAGAGAATTAGCACAGAGTATTTTTGCAGGTTTATGCAAAAAGCAAACATCATTCACAGACTGATATGTCTTGTCCTACTTTTTCTTCCCCCCAGGTTTGCATCTTCAAATCCCACAAAAGACTGATTTTTACAATGTATCTGCATTCAGTGTAGAGTGTGTCAGGCTTGGCAGACTTCATTCAGTTTCTCCTGCAGGGCTATCGTGTAAGCCTACATATATTCATTATGGTTTTTTATCAGAAGCAGGATGAGTATCTTCTTTCTGTCCCATTTCTGCACCGTGGTTCAGAGACAAATCCTTGTGGCTGCGTGAAAATCAACCAGCTAGACGCAGATGAAGATGGGCTTTGGGGAATTATCCACCCACACACAACATTTCAATCTGAGATTTTAGAGATTTTTCAAGGCACTTTACGGATGATATATTCAAACGTCCTACTTTATTTATTTATTTAAAATAAAGCTGTCATCTTTGAGTGATTCAGTCAAATCAGCACCCAATGCTTCTCTGCTTTCCTCCAAATCTGCAGACGAGGGCATTTGTCGTTCAGCCTTCTTTAAACGGTTCTGCTCTTTGTAAAATATTTTTAATGTGGTTGTCAATGAAGTGGAAATTTCCCATGATCAGCACTGTTGAATCTGAGTAGAGTATTTTTATATTATTTGAAAACCGACTATAAAGGTGAAGAGAAACAACACTAAATCCAATATAGACAAATACAAATTTGCAATGGTACAATGAAAAAAGGAAGTGATTGCATTAAGCCCAGTTCTAATTGATCCAAGTGTCCCAATAAGTCATGCCAGTGTGCCAAGGAAAATATGATGATTACTTTACTATTCTGTTAATCTTATTTTGTCATGTCCTTAGTGACAACAGTCTATACATCAGCAGCAGCAATGCTTAAAACTTATAATCAAGAAAGATACAGCCTTGTCTATTTAAAAGTAACATGTACATTCAACAAGTACTGTCCTAAAGTGAAATTCTGAGGGAGCACATTGCTTGTGCATTTATTTTAACCTAAAGCTTTCTAACAAAGAACAAGGCAGATACTAAAATTAGTGTGAAAACTGGATCATAGTTCATCAAACGTCTCCCACTTAACTCTGTTTGATTTGTCTGAAAAAAATAAACTTCTTAATTGTAATTGTGCAAAATTTGAGATTCCTATAAGTCATATATGAAGGTACATATAGTTTTGTTTTTACATGTTTTTCAGGCATCATATGTGAGGGACTCTACATGAGTATTTCAAAACTTTATATTGAAAAAATGAGAAGACTACCACAAATTTTGGATATAATATTAACAAAAATGTGCTCTTTCAAGAAAGATTCATTTGGATTCGGTACATGGTGTAATACCTGCGGTATCTCCCACTGAAGTTGGATGAAAATTCAAGTGGTACGGCAATGTCTTTCTAAAACATCTATTGTCTCTCGCTCTCTCTCTCTCTCTCTC